CAAAGTATTTTTTTTTTTTTTTTTTTTATCTTTTCTTTGTTGCTTGTCACATCTTAGCCTGTAAGCTCTCAAGAGCCAAGATGGACTCTTAAGGTCTCTCTGGACCATGTCTTCTATGTTATGAGTACTATCATTATACAAATGTCAGTAAAATGCCTGCAAGGAAGAAAAGGGAGAAAATTTTAGGACCCATCTCCCCTTGACTTCTGTTTCCAGAAAAATGAAAACAGGCTGCTTTTTGTGTTGAGACTCTGGACAATAAGCTGGGGGGGAGGGAGAGGGGGAGGGGAAAGTTAAGGGACTTGGGAAGTGATGGCATAATTACCCCAAATTCTTCCTAGGGCCTGCAGGGTCCCCAGCTACGCAATGGCTGCACACACATGCCGGCAAGTTTGATTTGCTGGAAGTTAACTCCTGTGGAATACCTATATCCTTTGAAGAATAAAAGGGGGTTCATTTGCCAGAACACAAAGACTAAGAAATTGTTCTCGATAAATATAAACTGTGACTTTTAAAATGAGATTAAACTATTTTCTCACTAGGAGGACCACTTGCACCATGACTAGTTTGTCTCCAAATGTCAAAGAGAGACACAATCCAACCACCATTTGTGCCTGTATCATCTTTGTTGACAACAAACTCAGAAGAGAAACTCTTTAACCAAATTTGAACAGTTGAGTGGAAGTTTGCTTTGTTACGTAGATTGCCTCTGAGAATCTGGCCTCTGGGGAAATAAAAATCCTAAGTATTATGATATGAGGTTTAAGGAGGGGAGGGGGAAGCTTTTCACATTATTTCTCAAGCAGAAAGCCTTTGAAAACATACAAGGAAAAAAGGCAAAATTATCGGGGACGAGAGATAAAAGGTTTCCTTTAGACTAGTTCCTGAAAGAGTCCAGTTTTTGAGCTCTCTGGTAATATTAGCTCCGATTCAAAGGACAGAGACATTTTCGGTGTAATACCTAACAGTGCCCTCTCTGTCCCCAACTGTGTCTTCAGAGATTCTAATTTGGCACACAGACTGAAGGGCAGTTGCTATCCTAAATAGCAAAGAGGAAACTTTTTGCCAAGAAGCCTACCTGAATACATGTGAACATCTGGATGCTGTTTTCTAACCACAAAAGACTGAGTATGCTAAAGATTCAAAAAGCATCCCTAGGTTTTAGGTCTGATAATTCATAGACAGCCCTGATATATCAGTGTCTTCCTCAGCATAACTTCTGAGAGCAAAAATAACTATTTAGGAAATATTTTCCATCACCCTTATTGACAATAGATTATGAACACAGTTTATATCATTTCTGCTTGCTCCTGTAAACAGATTAACTATAGAAGAAACCTTGTGTTGTACACATGGGCTAAGTATAGACAGTCAGAAAGTCCAATGCTGAATCAATTCAGTCTTTGCAGGTTTGTCTAAGCTGCACACATTGAATCGATCACCAAGTGAACAGACATTCACTTTTGAAACTGGAAATATAGCCACATGCCTGTAGTGCCTGGGCCAGAGCTGGGGCGAGGGAAGCGCTAGAGCATGCTTCCTTGCTTGGCTGAAGCAGACAGCTTGGGCCAAGGCTAGCCCACTCACCTTGCAAGTGGAGCTTACAGGGGAGGTGCAAAGCATCCTGGGATGTTGGGAAACCATGAGTGAACTTGAATCTGGGGGAGATCTGGGACAGAAGTTCAATAAAGTGATTTAACCTAAATCAGTTAAGTCTGACACTGCATCCATCCAGGTTTATCTTAAACCAGTTTTGGCCATTTTGAAAGCAGTTTACGTACACTGAACTACTGCTGTGTTACAGATTTGAACCAGTTTCTGATCACTTATACCAGTTTGTGTATAATTTCTGTCCCTAGCCATGAAGACACTTTCAAAGTGAAGTGGTTTGCCAGATGCTCAGAAGGCATCAATTAGCAGGCCTTCTCATCTGATCTGACCTCTTATGTTGGTGAAGCAGTTCTTGCTGACATGGTTTCCTTTGAATTATCAAACTATTATTAAATCAAATCAATAATGTTAGAGAAGACCAGGGAGAAAGCAGCCAAAGTCCCACTGTGACTCGAGTTTATCAAATTTCCTCATCACTGATGATGCAGAACTAAATACGTTGAACTCTTTACAAGCTCAGTAGGACATTCAATATGTTGGTCAAGGTTCTCTTTCACAAGATGTGCTAGAAATGAAGTTTGCACGAGTTTTCTTAGAGTATTAATTAATAAGGCAACTGAGACTGCTGTCACTTATTAGCCCTTCACCAAAAGTGACAGGTCTTTAAAGAAACAAATAACCTCCCTTCTACAACTGAATAATCAATATTTTAAAGGGTTGAGATCTTCATTCAATTTCTTCTATTACTTTCACAATGATAAAGACATGTTCAACAATTCAGATATTTTACACAGCATAATATTGAAATTGTATCAATTCCTCTCTCCAATGAGCATGGAAAGCAAAATTTTAAATCACAGCAAAAGTAATTTTAGTTTTCTTATGCATAATGATTATATAGTTTAACCAGTTTATGCATTAAATGGTAAGCAATAATAGTGACATTAGGATGGAGATGTAGATCAGCTGCATATAAAATTACAGCCTAAAAGTTTGGGCTTCTTAGACCCTCGAGAGAAAACCTGGAAGACTGTATTATCGTAAACACAACAGCTCTTTACATTTTTTTAATTCATGTTTATAAATTAAGATGCAACAATACAAATTGACCTTTTAAAGTGAAAGTTCAAATACTGCCTATTATACCAAGCCAGTGAAAACAAAGCAAATGAAAAAAATTACAGAAGAGTACACACACACACACACACACACACACACACACACACACACAACACACACACACACACACACACACGGCTGTATCATATCATTGTCTGGATTTGATGGCATAAAACCTAGCAATTTACTTCTCTAAACTCTCATTCTTCAAATCTTCCTCCAGATATGAGTGAGAGAGAAAGGGAAAGCGAGCATGCCAGGTAACAAACTAAGCTTTCTTCTGCAAAAGCTGCTGATCTTATCAGAAGAGTAACAATATTTTTGATTATATCTGAGAATATTCAGAAACACTCTGCATTGGCAAAGCTTTAAAGGAAAAAAAAAATGGTAATTTTCAATGCGTCATACAATAACAAGCAGAATTACAAATAAATCATCTCAGCAGGATTTAAGATCGTACATTACCACTACACAAAAGTTATCCCTGGGCAAGTCGCATAACATGTCTATAAATGGAGATATTACCAATTTTACAAGAGTTTTTTTATACTGATACTCAGAAGCATTACTTTTCTGAACAGGTGCAGTGCTATATAAAAGTATTACACCTTGAATAAGTGGAGCTCCAAGACTGCATTAAATTTACATCATTATTAGAAATGCTGGTGGGTTTACTCCTCATATCACGAGCCTCTGGAACAAACTGTAAAGTAACTTTAGAGACTTCCAGGGAAGACTAAAGGAATATTACTGTGCTTTTTAAAAGCATATACAACAAAAAATAGGTAAAGGAAAAAACAGATGCTCTTCACTGCCTAACTAAGCAACTGCAATTTATAAGTTTTTGCTCCAATACTTATTTATTTTTTCTCCAAGAAGATAAGCTGCCTGTAATAAAACAGTAGAGTGAATAAGAAAGAAAAGGAAGCAAATGGCACATAACATGTAAAAATCTAAGTTGTGCTGTGCTGTTCTATAAATTTCCCTACATATTTCCTCTGATTTAGAAGAAATGCTTCTAAATGCCACCATTTTTGCAACTACCACACTCCAAGAAACCCATTTAAACTGTTATACAATTCGAGGGCAAGTGATTAAATATAGTGAACATATTAACAGGAGCCACTAATAAAAATAATTCTGCATTTTTTCATGTTAATTGCCTTTTGGTGCCATCTTGTTTATAAACTAGGATTGCCCTGTCCCAACATCAGAAGAGCCACTTTATACAGAAACCTTAGTAAAACTGTTTTTATACTCTCCTTGGTCTTGCATTAAGAATACTATAGAGAGATGACTACACATCTCTCTACAGAGAAAAATTTTAGAATTTCCATTTTGCTGGAATTTTATAACACTATTGCACTGTATAAGTGAATACTTTCTGATGTTTAGGTTTGATTTTGTTTCTCCTAAGAATTAGCCAACACTGTCAATTGTCCCCCATCTCTTTTGTGAACTTAATAAAACTGGAATATGGCAAGGATAGCCAACAATTCTGAGCAAGAATACTGGATGACACCTTATACATTGGTCATAAAAATCACTCCAATTTTCTAGGCTGTTTGGTATGTTTTGCTCTAACTTACATCCACTGGAAACACATGGCTCAGCAAAACCAAATGCAGGTTACTATTCATCAAGGTCACTTACCCCATAACTGTGGTCAGCAATGTGGTTTAGAGTTATGAGAACGAAGTGTTATGCTAACCCTTTTTTCCCCCAAACAAACATACTACAGATTACAGAATATTTCTTTTCCTAATCTTCTAAGGCTCCTTTTGAGGAATCATACTTGATGTTTTAAAACAATTGCTGGAACAAGTTCAAAACCCTGGCTTTTAAAGAACTGATATTTTCAACAAGAACAATTTTAATCAAACTCCCCCCCACTCCTACTCCCCCACAACACAAGCAAGGCCAGCTGTTTTGTGTTACTGGAGATACTTCGTTTATACAATGTTACTTTTGCATTTTACAAAAATGGCACAAATGTACTATCCATGGGTAACAGCAATACGATAAACATTCAGGAACCACAATTTACTTTAAACTAACATCCTGAACACACAATTCTTGAATATTCTTTTCTGCAGGTAACTTATTGGCCAGCTATATTCCCACAGGAAGCTTGCAAACAGTCCTAAAATTAAGCTAGTAGAAAATCTGATAAAAGCTAGCTTAACTGGAAAAGACAAAGTTCCCCCACCCAAGCTACTTGACATTAAAACAATTTTGCCTCAAATTTACTACTGAAAAATCTGAATCCAACAATCAAGGCATGTTTTATCTTTGATGTTACTGTCGTATCTTACAAACACAGGCTGTAGGTCATGTAAAAAAGGCTAATCTAACAAAAATTTGTCACAGTAGAAAGGACTATTTGATGAACACAAAGTGATTAAAGAGAACAAGTAATTGCAAGTAAAAACATTGAGATATCCAAATTCAAGAAAAATTTTATTCAACTATTGCCATGTCAGAACAATAAAGCAGCCCTTACATGTAGCCACTCATCAAAAGGACATTACAAAACATTAACATAATGTAATAGACCAATTTTTCTTTCAGGCATTTTCAAAGGACACCTTGGACCCACATAATCTTCTACTATAGTGTGCAAGAAAAGAACTGCAAATGGAATAATGCAAGCAGCTATATTGTGTGTCCCCCATTTATCTGAACACCATGCCTCTGCTGTTAAGATTCTTAACAATCAAGGTAACACAAGCAGTATTTTAGAGTTAAGATATTGCCGTTTTCTTCAGTATTTGAGTCAATAACTACTAATGCTAGACAGCGAATTTCCATTGCACACAACAATTTCATAATGGAAAGAAAAGCGAGAAGGCGGACCTAGCTCTGCCCTCAAATGCTCAGAAAGAATTTTCTGTACAAGAGACTGTGTGGTCCTGAAAAAGGACAGTCTTTGGCACTGCTAACTACAGAGCCCTTATTTATTGTGATGCGAAATAAGCCTTCAAGCGTCCCTTACTTGATCTCAGAAGGTCAAATTCTCTGTCCAGCAGCTCCTCCTCTGTTAGTTTAGAGAAATTATCTTCTCCAAATGGGTTCCAACCTGACATATCAGGTGGGTTATTGATGTTCTGCTTTGGGTAACTGGAAACTGCCTCTGCATCAGGAATGGCTGACCTGCAAAGTCAATTTTGGAAGCCAAATATGAAAAACATTAAAACTTATATCTATGGGATATAGTGCTATAAACATCTGCACCTAATCATTTCAGCAACCTCTAAATATAATGCATATACGCAATATGAATACAATATAACAGCTTAAGCATGAGACCATTTAACAGTGGCTTAAATTTTTATTCTACTTTGATTTAATTTTTTTAGATGCAAACTAGCCAATTGCCCGTTAAGAATGATGGGGTGGGGGGAAGCAGGCAGGGATGGAGCCCCATGCCCCTCCTGCTGATTAGGGGAGGAGAAGCAGCAGGCCCGGCCCAACCCAGCAGTGGGACGGGAGGAGCAGGCTCAGGGCCAACACGAGGCAGGGGAGGTGGGGGAGGAGTGGGCCCAGGCCCAAGGCAGAGAGGCGGCCTGCTCCTCCCCTCCCCCTCCCCGCACTGCTGCCCCATCAGCAGGGCCCGCTGCTCCCCTCCACTGCCGTGGTGGGCTGGCTTCTCTCCCCACTTGGACTCACTCCTCTTCCTCCTCCCACCCCCTCCCCCCACATCAGGCCCAGGCCCACTGCTCCCCTCCCCCCAC